TTCTCAATAATTCTTCTTTAAATATTGGTTCAATTCACCAGTGAAGTGGTATGATCCTGGACTTTGTCAGGAGGTTGTGTCTTTTTTTTTAACAAGCTGCTGGAGTGGGGTTGTGGAGTGTGGAGGGTCCGTCAGAAGGTTTTTGATTACTGATTCAATGGCTTTACTTGCTATAGGTCTGCAGAGATTTTCTATTTTGCCATGAGTCATACTGGGTTATCTGTATTCTTCTAAGAATTTGTCCATTTCCTCTAGGTTACCTACTCTGTTGGCATATAGTTGTTCCTTTCATAATTCTTTTGTATTCTGTTGGTTAGTAATAAAATTTTCCCTTACACTTCTGATTTTAGTTATTTGCAATTTCTCATCTCTTTTTATTGGAAAGGGGTGAGTCTAATTAAAGGTTTGTCAATTTCATTGGCCTTTAACCAACTAACTTTTAATGATCTATTATTTTCTAGTCTTTATTTAGCTGTGCTAATCTTTATTATTTCATTCCTTTTGCTACTTTTGGGTTCAGTTTGCTCTTCTATTTCTAGTACCTTAAGGTATAAAGTTAGGTTACTGATTTTTACTTTCTTCCCTTTTAGTTCTTCCTTTTAACACAGGCATTTACAGCTATAAATTTCTCTCTTGAGCACTGCCTTCATGGCATCCTGTAAGTTCTGGCATACTATATTTTCATTGTCATTCACATGTAAGTATTTTCTAATTTCCCTGGTGATTTCTTCTTTGACCTACTGGTTGCTTAAGAGTGTGTTAATTTCCACATATACATATTTTTAACATTCCAGTTTTTTTTTCCTGTAATTGATCTCTAGTTCCATTCCATTGTGGTTGGTGATAATACCTCATATGACTTCAATCTTCTTCCATTAACTAAGATGTTTTTTGGTCTAACATATAATCTATCCTGGAATATCTGCCATGTGTACTTTAAAATAATGTGTATTTTGCTATTGTTGAGTAAAAACTTCTATACATGATTGTCCCTCAGTATCCATAGGGCATTGGTTCCAGGACCCCACTTGAATACCTAAAATCCATGGATTCAAGTCTCATATATAAAATGGTAGTTTCTGCATACAACTGACACACATCCTCCCATATACTTCAAATTATCTCTAGATTACAGTTATGTATTGCTTAACAACAGGGATATGTTTTTAGAAATGCATCCTATTAGCTGATTTTGTCCTTCTATGAACATAAATTGTACTTACACAAACCTAGATGGTACAGCCTACTACATACATAGGCTATAGGGTATAGCCTATTGTTCCCAGATTTCTTTTCCTTTTTTTCTTTTTTCTTTGAGACAGAGTCTTGCTCTGTCGCCAGGCGCCAGGCTGGAGTGCAGTGGCACAATCTCAGCTCACTGCAACCTCCACCTCCCGCATTCAAGCAATTCTCCTGCCTCAGCCTCCCAAATAGCTGGGACTATAGGCGTGCGCCACCATGCCCAGCTAATTTTTGTATTTTTAGTAGAGACAGGGTTTCACCATGTTGGCCAGGATGGTCTCAATCTCTTGACCTTGTGATCCACCCACCTCAGCCTCCCAAAGTGCCAGGATTACAGGTTTGAGCTACCGCACCCGGCCTTCCTAGATTTCAAACGTGTACAGTATGATACTGACCTGAATACCACAGGTAATTATAAAACAATAGCAAATACCTGTGTCTCTAAATATAGAAAAGCTATAGTAAAAATATGATATAAAAAATGGTATGTCATGTATAAATATGGGATAAAAGATAAAAAATGGTATGTCATGTAGAGCATTATGAATGGAACTTATAGCACTGGAAGTTGCCCTGGGTGAGTTAGTGACTGGTGAGTGAACGTAGAGACCTAGGACATTATTGTACACTACCGGAGACCTGATAAACACTGTATACTTAGGCTACACTAAAATTACTTTTTTTAATTATATGTATTCAATAAACTTGGCTTACCATAACTTTATAAGCTATTTACTATTTTGAAGCTTTTTGAATTCTTCTGTAGTAATATTTAAATAAAAACACATTATACAGCTGTACAAAAAATACAACTTTTTCTTTCTTCTTGAGACAGAATATCACTCTGTCACACAGGTTGGAGTACAGTGAAGCAATCTCAGCTCACTGCAGTCTCCACCTCCCAGGTCCAGGTGATTCTTGTGCCTCAGCCACCATTGTAGCTGGGATTACAGACGTGTACCACCACACTCGGCTAATTTTTGTATTTTTAGTAGAGGTGAGGTTTTACCATGTTGGCCAGGCTGGTCTCGAACTCCTGGCCACAAGTGATCCACTCACTTTGGCCTCCCAAAGTGCTGGTATTACAGGTGTGAGCCACTGCACCCAGCTATCTTTCTTTATATCCATTTTCTATACGCTTTTTTCCATTTGTAAAATTTTTATTTGTTTTACTTTTGCAACTTTTTTGTTAAAAACTAAACGCAAACACCTACATTAATATAGGGCTTACAAAGGGTCAAGATCATGAAGATGTTACCAGGTGATAGGAATTTTTCCAACTCTTACCATAATCTTAAGGGACCACTATTGTCAATGTAGTCTGTGGCTGATAAAAATGTCATTATGTGACACACAACCTGTACTTACATACAATATCTAATGTGATATAAATGCTATATAAGTAGTTTTACATTTGGAATAATGACAAGAAAAATCATCTGTACATGTTCAGTATAAACGCACCCATCTATTTTTCTTCCACCAAATATTTTTGATCCATGGTTGGTTGAATCCACGAATGCAGAACTCATGGATATGAAGGGCTAACTCTGCATCTGTTAGGGCCAGTTGGTTATAGTGGTGTTCATGACCTCAACATCCTTAATGATCTTGTGTATATATGTTCTATCCATTATTGAACGTGAGATACTGAAGTCTCTTTTTGTAGGGCTACTTTTCCCTTTAAGTCTCTCAAAAGGATTCTCAATAAAGTGAATATTCCTACAATCTTTAAAAGAGCCAAACTATGTTTAACCCTTTACTAAATGCCAGGTTCTGGCCTGTACATGTTAAATGCATTAACTTATTTACTGGGTAGGTGTTATATTATCTGACATTTATAATGACACAGAGATGTGTTTGACAAATAGGTAAACATGTGATACAGAGTTTCCAATGCAGTAATGTTTATTGTAGAAAAAAATAAAAAGTGAACTATTAGATAAAACAAGGCAATGAAATAAAACCTGGGTTTACACTGTACTCTATCACTTATGACTATAATATATTTAACTCTTCTGAGCCTCAATTTTCTCAAATAAAAATAATGCCTAAAATTTCTTCCAGTTTACATGTTATGCTTCTTAGTATCCAAAACTCCTAGAATAAAGCTGGAAACAAAGCAGGCCCTGACTGAAAAGTATCTGAGACAGTGATGTAATGACTTCTAGATACTAATCGTGTTCTAGAGGGATAGGTGTATACAGAAGACACATTCCGACTTTGTGAAGCTAACCAAGACTATGAATTCATGATGAACTAAAACTAACTCTCAAAACAAAAAACAAGAATAAAATCTAGAGTTTATACTTCTATTTACAGCAAAGGATTTTGACTTGCAACCACTAAAATTTGATTGTCAGATAAAAAGTAAGTTCTGACCAATTCTACCACATGATCCATTCATTAATTTAACACATTTATTAAACAAATATTAAATATCTGGTCCTTTGCCAGCGCCAGGTTAACAGTATATCTGTCTATGTTTTCAATAAGCTAGGCCACAGTTAAGCTGGAAATATACAGATTTACAAATAAATAATTACAATAAGAGCTAAGCTACAGGTATTAACAGAATTCCAAGAAGCAGTATAGCAGTATGCAGATTTTAAGGAGCACGATTCTTACATGTTGTGGATAATTGGACAGTAGACTAAGCATGGTCCTATAATGAGGTTGACAGGTATAGCAGAGGAAACAGGACGGACAAAGTTTCGAGTCAAAAAAAAAAAAAAAAAAAAAAAGGCAGACACCACATTCAGTATTACTCAGTATTATAAAAATATGTCAATTTGATCTTAATTCACTCACTATAATATACATAATACTATTATTATACTGTTACTGAACACTTATAATGTGTCAGCTTACAAATTTATGTGTGTACTCCTTACATAATAGTTTTATAGATGAGAAAAATAAAGCATAACGAGGTTAAATGTTTCTGTTTTAAGACAGAGTTTCGCTCTTATTGCACAGGCTGGAATGCAATGGCGTGATCTCAGCTCACTGCAACGTCCACCTTCCGGGTTCAAGCAATTCTCCTGCCTCAGCCTCCTGAATAGCTGGGATTATGGGCGTGCGCCACGACACCTGGCTAATTTTTTATTTTTAGTGGAAATGGGGTTTCGCTGTGTTAGTCAGGCTGGTCTCAAACTCGTGACCTCAAGTGATCTGCCCATCTCGGCCTTCCAAAGTGCTGGGATTACAGGTGTAGGCCACTGCACCCAGCCCCATAATGTTTTGCCCAATGGTGGACAGCTAGTAACTGGTGAAGCAAGCACTTAAGAATAGGTAGTCTGACTCCAGAATGGCTCAAGGATTTCCCTTGCAAAGCACCTTCTGCTGAGATGTGTTAAGACTATGGCCGTTATCATCTTATCCTAACAAACACAAGTGTCTGCAAAGCTACCCCTGAGTTTCTCCTGAGTTGTTTACAAGATACATGGAAGGTATGGATAGCTAACCATGACTCCCATGCAGATTACCAGTACATCTTGTTTAGGTAGGCAGTCCTTCATAAACATTCTGACTCATTCCTGACAGATCCATATTTCCCACTAAACAAAGTCCTCCATATTCTTCAGCTAATTAAGAAATCTGTATCAGCTTCCTACTGGTAAGAACAAGAATCATGAATACTAGATTTGAAGAACAGTTACCTTCCACTGAACACTGAATACAGTACATAAACTAACACTCCTAACAAGTCTAAAGAGAAGAAAATTAAGCTTCATAAATGTGAAGCCAAAAGATACCTTCAGTCCCTCCAATTCATTTTCCAGTTGCTTAGAATAGTGCTCACTCTGTTCACGTAGTTTCCTGTCTTTAGATACTTCCGCAGCTAGAGCTTCTGTATGAACTTCCAGCTTTAAAACAGAATGAAAAAAGCATATTTCATGGTTATAATTTTTTTCCAAACAAAACATTAATGCCAATGGGAATTTACCTTGTAACAGGACAATAATTCAAATGTTTAAATCCATATTAACATTAACAAACTATAAAAATAACTTCAAAAAATATTAAATAAAAATTATATATGATATCACTAGTCTCAAAAAGCAGCTTTAATCACTATCCCACGGGTACTACAAAATTTGCCTGACTACTAACCTCTTTTTTGGCTCTTTCTGTTCTGCGCAGTTCTTGCCTTAAGCTTTCAACTTTTTGCATCACCAGATCCACCTCTTCTTCCTTATCTCGGACATGGCGAGCAAGTTTCTGTTTTTGGGTGTGCAATTCTGTTAGCCGCTCATTGATCTCCATGAATTCCTGCATGGCCAGTTTCCTCTGACAGTGTGCGTCTTTCAGCTCTTTGGATTGGTTTTTTAATCGCTCACTAGCCTGGACTAGTTCCTACAGTTTTGTAAAAAGAATATAAGTTACCAATTCCGCAATGGACAGACCAAATTTGGCCATCAGAATAGTTATTATTAAGTCAAGAAGAGCCAAATTTATTCACCTTAGGACAAATTAAAAGAAATAAACTACTTCTGTACAGATATTAACAGCATGGTGTCCTGTTATAGTCTCAATTCTTTATGCTAATACAGTAAATGCAAGGGAGCTGCAGATTTAACCTTATAGTACCTTCATTTCCACAAATGAGGAAAACGTATAGGAATAAAAATATGATGGTCGAAATAAATACTTATAAATTTAATAAATATTTGTGAGTTGTTGTTTTTCTTTTCCATTAAAAACAAGTGTTGCCCTTGACATGGAGGCTAAGCCTCAAACCAGAAGCAAGGAAACAGAAACTAAACTGGAGACTCCCTGATTAAAGTGAGAAACTTAGAGAAGAGCTATAAGTGGACTCAGGGCAGTACAACTACCTGCCTCCCACTAAATGGTAATACAAACTTTCTTTGGGGGAAAGAACTGCAATGAAATCTGAAGTTTTCATATATTAAGAACAAACAAGAATGAGCTCACAACCACAGATTCCAAAATACTTAAAAGAACAAAGCACCACAATCAAAACAGAAACAATAAACATAAGCATCAAAGGTATCTCGGTGTTAAAATCATTAGATATTGACAACAAATTGCTACATATGAAATGTTTAAGGGAATAAAAGAGGAAATAATAAAAATGAAAAAAATGACATGATACTATTAAAAATGACCAAGCAGATTTATAGAAGAACTGTATGGGACATTTAGAAATAGAAAACATAAGGTTGGGCACAGTGGCTCTTATCTATAATCCAGCCCTTTGGGAGGCTAAAGCAGGAGGACTGCTTGAGCTGAGGATCAGCCTAGGCGACACAGTGAGATCTCATCTCTACAAAAATTAACAATGTAAATTTTTGAGCCTGCGAGGCTGAGGCCACAGTGAGCTGAGATCACTCTGTTGCACTCTAGCCTGGGCAATACAGTGAGATCCCACCTCAAAAAAAAAAAAAAGGAAAAGAAATGAAAAAATATAAGTGTTAAAATTAAGACATGCATCCATCACCACAGGAAGTTCTACATTTATGAATCAGAAAAAAAATTTTAAAAAACCCAAACCAGAAATGTTCAAAAAATGATACTGGGTAACATCAAAGAGAAATAAAAGACTGTAAAGAAATCAAAGGGAAAAAAAGACAAATCACCTATTCCCAATCCTCAAGTAAGCCAGGGAGGGGGAACAATAGACTAAAGAACAGAAACTGGAGAATTAACAACAACAGAAATAGGGTAAAATGCTTTCAAAGAGATGAGAGGATAATGAAAATTATATACCCAAAAAATTACTCTTCAAGTCTGAGGCTTCATATAAACAAAAACTGACAGAGCTTACCATAATCAGATCTGGACTAAAGGAACCAGTAAAGCTTTATTTCAGGAAAAAGAGAAATGATTTTAGAGGTCTAAAGCAAGAGAAATGAACAGCTAATCAATTGGTTAATATAAATGTGAATGTAAACAAATGTATATATAAGATTTACTATAAAAATGTTAACTTTGTAAAGTAAACAAAACAGACAGCTAAAATACTGATCAATAACAACACATAAAGTTGTGAAGAGGTAATACAGGTTGACTATTACTTCTCCAAAAATTTGGAATCCAAAATGTTTCAAAATCTAAAACGTTTTGAGTACCAACATGATGTTCAAAGGAAATGCTCACTGGAGCATTTCAAGATTTTAGATTTTCAGGTTCGAAATACTCAACTGGTACAATGCAAATAATCAAAAATCCAAACGCTGGTCTCAAGCATTCCAGATAAGGGATACTCAATCTAGAATTAAATGTCCTTAAATTGTTTGTGGGAAATAGTTTAAGGTATTTAATTTAAATGTGGTTAATACACATGGTAGAAGTCAAGAGTAACCACCAAAAGACTAGAAGGAGGGTAAAGTAAAATGTCATCAACAATAACAACAACAAGAAGTATCAGTGAAGAAGAAAGAAATGATTTTGCAAACAAAAAGAGTGTGGTGGTGGGCGCCTGTAATCCCAGCTACTTGGGAGGCTGAGGCACAAGAATCACTTGAACGATGGAGGTGGAGGTTGCAGTGAGCTGTGACCACGCCATTGCACTCCAGCTTGGGCAACAAGAGCAAAACTGTCTCAAAAAAAATAAACAAATAAAAGGCCTGATGCAGTGGCTCATGCTTGTAATCCCAGCATTCTGGGAAACTGAGGCAGGTTGATCCTGAGGTCAGGAGTTCGAGACCAGCCTGACCAAAATAGTGAAACCTCATCTCTACTAAAAATACAAAAATTAGCTGAACATGGTGGCAGGCACCTGTAATTCCAGCTACTTGGGAGGCTGAGGCAGGATAATTGCTTGAACCCGGGAGGTGGAGTTTGCAGTGAGCTGAGATTGCGTCACTGCACTCTAACCTGACCGAGTGTTAGACTCCGTCTCAAAAACAAAACAAAACAAACAAACAAACAAAAATCTTCTGAGAGGGAAGAAAGGAGATAAAAAACGGCATTCGGCCAGGCATGGTGGCTCACCTGAGGCTGGGAGTTCAAGACCAGCCTGACCAACATGGTGAAACCCTATCTTTAAAAAAAAAAAAAAAAAAAAAACCAGCATGCAAAAATCATGACAAACAGAAAACAAAAAATAAGATAGTAAAAACACATTGAGATACGTTAATAATCACCAATTAAAGGCCATTGTATCAGATTAAGAAATGAAATCTAGACTTCAATAGAAAATATATTATTAAGGATAAGAAATATCACTACATAACAAAATTCAATACCCTGAGAAGATATAATATCCTGAACTTTTGTGCGTTCTATAAGATAGTCTCAAAAGTATTAAAAAGAAACTGTTAGAACTTCAGAGAAAAATTGACAAACATCACTATAATGAAAAATTTCAATTTCTTCATCATTAATAGATAAACCAAGTATGCAATAAAAATAGTGAATATAAAGAAACTCTGAAAGCTCAATTAACAAGCTTCATATACAGAAGCTTGCTCTCTAAATTAAAACACACACTATTTGCAAGAGCACATACTGAATGTTTTAATGGAATGTTAAAAATGGAACAGGCTAGGTCATGAAGCAAGTCTCAGTAGATTTCAAAGAACCAACACCAGGTAGAGCAAGTTCTGTAGTGACACTGCAACTAAGCTAGAAGTCAACAAAAAAGATAAAACTCCATACATTGAAAAATTTAAAAGATACTTATAAATAACTCATTGGTCTGTGAGAAAAAGAAAATTCAACTCTATGAGACCAGTATAATCTGAATATCAAGAAAAGAGGAAAAAACTAACACACCAATCTCATTCATAAAAACAAACGTGAAAATCCTTTTTCAACATTAGTAATCAGTTCCAGTGATATATAAAGTAGATATGCATGAAGTCTGGAGCTAAACTCCTTGTGCTGAAAATCTAGCTCCACCACTTTCTATTTCTATGACCTTTGGCAAGAGAAGTAACTTCTCTGTGCTTCGTCTCACCATTCATAAAATGAGAATAATAATAATACCACCTAACTCATGGGGCTGTGCTGGAGATTAAATAATCTAATATATGTAAAGCACTTAGAACAGTGCTATTAAAACAGATATTTGCTACATAAATGTTATCTATACTATCACGATATTATTTAAAATACACGTGAAATTTGGGCTTAACCCAGAAATGTAATAGTGGCTTAATATTAGAAAAAGTCTACCAATGCAGTTCACCACACCAACTTACTAAAGGACAAGAATCATATAATCGTATCAATAGAGCACAGAAGGGCACATTTAATAAAGTCAATACCCAGTCTAAATAAAAAGCTATTAACAAAATAGAAACAGAAGTTAACTTCTTTAACCTGACAAAAATTATTTATTAAAAACTTCCAGCAAACATTGTTAGTGGTGAAATATCAGAGGCAATTTCTTCAAAATTGGGGAACAAGATGGGGATGCCTGCTATTACCATTTCTAATCAACACTGTACTGAGGTTCTAGGTAACTTTCATGTTTTTGCAGTTGGTACCTTCTGAACAAATTTTACTGAAACCTGGGCTAAATCAAAGTCTTCAAAAGTAACTTATAATTGATTTAGTAGTGAGAAAACTAAGAGATATCCCTTCTGGAGGTAATGTGTTTACATTCCAAGGTGGGGTGGCAGAGAGTAGGAGCCTGGACCAAGGGGGCTTCCTTTGATGGAGCAGGAGACTCTGGGCTTATATTTCCAGTGGAAATATTTATCTATATTTCAAAGGGTTAGAGAAAGAACCCAAGATCCTTCTTTGTAGATTTACAAGGAACTCACTCAGAAGAGGAGGAAGCAGGAAGCAGTTGCTTCTTTCCTCTATATAAACACCTAGACAAATGTTTTCAAGGCTCCTTGTTTATAATACAGACTCCTTCTGTGTAGGGTTTTATCTTGCCAGCTCTCAGGATATCGCTCTGGGGATAAGAGCTGGCACAGAGGGAGCCATGTAGTTATTCTTTGCTGTATGTAAGGGATAACAATCCATTCTATTCTGGAAATCTGTGTGTATATTCAGAAAAATAGTAATCAATATCAATTGTAAGAACTTAAAGACAATATTGTAATGATGTCAATTCTCTCTAAATTGGTCTACAAATTCAATGTTTTTTTTTTTTTTTTTTTTTTTTTTTTTTTTTTTCTGAGATAGGGTCTTGCTGTCGATCAGGCTGGAGTACAGTGATATGATCATGGCTCACTGCAGCCTCAACTTACTAAGTTCAAGTGAACCTCCTGCCTCAGCGTCCTGAGTAGCTGGGACTACAGGATTATACCACTCAGCTAATTTTTTATTTTTTATAGAGACTGGGTCTCATTCTGTTGTTGCCTAACATGGTCTCAAACTCCTGGACTCAAGTGATCCTCCTTTCTCATCCTCTCAAAAGTGCCAGGATTATAAGCATGAGTCACCATGCCCAGCTGATTAAATGCAATTTTAACCAAAATTCCATCTTCATAGTTTTCAAAAAATTGTTGAGATACAGACCCTAAAACTTTAAGATAAAAATTTAGGAGAATTTAAAAAATCTCAGATTTCTTATATAAGATAGCAAATACACTAACCATAAAAATATTGATAAATCTGGCCACAATAAACCTAAGAAGTTTTGTTTTTTTTTTTTTTTTGAGACGGAGTTTCGCTCTTGTTACCCAGGCTGGAGTGCAATGGCGCAATCTCAGCTCACCGCAACCTCCGCCCCCTGGGTTCAGGCAATTCTCCTGCCTCAGCCTCCCGAGTAGCTGGGACTACAGGCATGCGCCACCGTGCCCAGCTAATTTTTTTTTGTAATTTTTAGTAGAGACGGGGTTTCACCATGTTGACCAGGATGGTCTCGATCTGTTGACCTCGTGATCCACCCGCCTCGGCCTCCCAAAGTGCTGGGATTACAGGCTTGAGCCACCGCGCCCGGCCCCCTAAGAAGTTTTTAAATAAAAAGATTCCTAAAAGCAAAAAGATAAGGCACCAAGAAATATTTGTAACACATATAACTCACAAGATTAGAATGTCCAAATATTTTCAAGAATTCTTATAACCAGTAAGAAAAAAACAACCCAAGAGAAAAATATACAAAAGATATTAAGAAGCATTTCACAAAAGAAATGTAAATGACAACAGACACATGAAGATACTTGACCTCATTAGTAATTAGAGAAATGCAAATTCAGACCACAACCAAACATTTTCTAAAACCTAAAATCTCAATTTAGACTAACTAGATTGTCCAAAAGTAATAAATCTAGTAATCTGAACACAGAAACTCCTATACACTACTTGTGGAAATGGAAGTTGATATACTAGAAAACAGTTTGGCATTATAAAAAATCAGAATATTTGCTAACCCAATCAAAGAATGGGCAAAGGACCTCAGTGGACATTTCTCTAAGAAGACATACAAATGGCCAATAGGTATATGAAAAAGTACTGAACATCACTAATCATAACAGAAGCAAAAATCAAAACCATAATGAGCTGTCACTTTGCATCTACTGAATGGCTTTTTTTTTTTTTTTTTTAAAGAATTTAAGCCCCAAAGAAAATCAATCTGGAATTAAGAGAAATGAAAAAAAAAAAAAGTATTTTTTAACTATTTAACTGAAAAACACTAAGATTAAAAGCAAACCGCCTTCTTTACCAGATACTTTTTTTAAAAAAATTAAGTATTTTGACTTTCATTTTAGGTTCAGAAATACACGTGCAGGTTTGCTATATAGGTAAACTCATGACTTGGGGGTTTGATGTACAAATTATTTCATTACCTGGGTAGTTATCATGTTACTGACAGGTTTTTTTGTTTGTTTTTTTCTGAGCTTCTCCTTTCTCCTCCCACAGGTCCCAGTATCTCTTGTTCCCCTCTTTCTGCCTATGCGTTCTCATGATTTAGCTCTTACTTATTAGTGAGAACACATGGTATCTGGTTTTCTCTTCCAGCATTAGTTTTCTTTTTTTAATATATATAAAAGAGAAAGAGAAAGGGGGAGAGAGAACAGGAGTCTTGCTCTATTGCCCAGGCTGGAATGCAATCCAAAAATAGGTATTAAAAACCTCTTTCATGCCAATAATTGTGCTGAACAGCAGAGACAGGAAGAATAAGAAAAGAAAATAACAAACAGCCAACCAATATTTCATTTAAATCTGGGAAATGCTATGCAAATGCTGAAGAGTGATTTGCTTCCATTTATGTGGTCACTTTCAAAACAGGTGTAATGTGACACTGAAAAAAACGTATGTTCTGTGGACCTGGGGTGAAGAATTCTATAAATATTCACTGAGTTTACTTGTTCCAGGTCTGAGTTCAAATAAATCATAAATGTCCCTGTTAATTTTCTATCTCGTTGATCCGTCAAATATTAACAATGTGGTGTCAAAGAATGGCTATTTGTTTTAAAGACAAAAGATAACAAGTGTTGGCAAGGAATGCAGAGAAAAATCATTTTCTACCGACTATGGGATATTAAGCAAATCACTCAAACTCCTTTATTGGTATCATCTGTTTCTTTTCATCAACACTATCATCTTCTCAAAATACATGAAAAAGATTTTTAATACTAAAGCATTAAAAATTGGTGAGTATCTGTCACTATAAATCTAGATATCAGAGTTTCACCCTTATTATGTTAACTAAATTTGGCTGAGTAATCCTACCAATAAATACAAAATGGCAACCCAATAATATTACTATATTATTAAAGCAAATAGAGCACTGTTTTAAATGTCAAATATTATTAAATTGGCCATGAATTTAAATGGACCTATACAAAACATTGCTTGAAAACTGCATTAAGCAGAAAGTAAAAATGTACTGATCTATTTCAATCTATTCTTTAATAGTTCTCTCTGTTAGTCCTTCTGACTAGTTTCACCAGCTAAAGGTTACTTGTTTTATTTTTAATTCCCTCCACTTCTTTCCTGGCACCAAGACTTTCAAATCTTCTACAGAAGAACTTCATTCATTCTATGTTATCAGTGCATTATATTAATATCTTCCATCATTGAATACAACTTACGCTATGCCATAAACTACTGATTTCTGGTTTGCAAGGGCTAGTATTAGTCCCCAAATTTTTCTGTTTATGAAAGTCACAGTGCTTAGCAGCATGTGGTTCAAGAAAAGTATTTTCTCTAGTGTTTGAATATTATTCACTCTATTGGGCTGTGCCATAGAGCCTTAGCTATCAGTAAGTTTTCTTGATGTTTAAAATAATGTTACACAAAGTTCTTATGAAAATGTCTTTAGCTTGTTTATCCATGCTGCTTTTAAAAATAAAAACTGACATTTAAAAAAAGAAATTTTAAATTATACTTTTAAGAATGTTTTTATCAGCAAGTTATAATGAAAATATGCTTGCATTTTAAATTTTTTCTATAGATACTAAAGAGTCTACTATTTTCTTATTTCTTCATGTTTTTTTCAATAACATTGACTTTTAATCTAGTCCTTTGACTATTAACTTTTAAAAAAACAAGATTCTGAACTTTAAAGCCTCAAAAATTTGAGTTTATTAATTACTAGCAAATGACACACACCAAAATAATTTTTTTTTTTTTTTTGAGACGGAGTTTCGCTCTTGTTACCCAGGCTGGAGTGCAATTTGTTGTTGTACCCAGGCTGGAGTGCAATGGCGCAATCTCGGCTCACTGCAATCTCCGCCTCCTGGGTTCAGGCAATTCTGCTGCCTCAGCCTCCTGAGTAGCTGGGATTACAGGCACGCGCCACCACGCCCAGCTAATTTTTTGTAGTTTTAGTAGAGACGGGGTTTCACCATGTTAACTAGGATGGTCTCGATCTCTTGACCTCGTGACCCACCCACCTCGGCCTCCCAAAGTGCTGGGATTATAGGCTTGAGCCACCGCGCCCAGCCCAAAATAATTCTTAAATTTTTAAATCAACTTTTTAAAAGATAAAATATACTACATATTATTGTAATTCATTATGAATTTCAGTATTCTTATAATACAAGATTTAAAACAGAGAAAAGGCTTTAACAATCTATTAACATCTTTTACCTTATTTAGATCTTCCCTTTCTTGTTGTAATGTTTTGATTTGTTTTTCATAAGCCTTGATTTGTCTAAAAGCATCATCTAGTTCTTGCCTCGCAGCATTAGCTTCTTCAAGTTGCTGTTCCAAATGACTCGACTCTAAAAACAGAAGACAGGGTTTCTTTTACTATTTGCATAAAATCAAATGATTGAAACTAAGGTAAAACAACTAAATTTTTTTTTTAAAACAGCATTTTGAATCTGGAGTTAGGTCTACTAACAGTGTATACCAGTATGACTCTTGACCAATTAAATGCCTATCAGTTCACTGTAAAGATGGTGAATGGCGTATGCCAGTGTGAAGATGTGTACAATTTATATGCAGAAATGCCTTACCTACTCATTAGGAACCAAAAAGCTTCCAAAAACAGCACCTTCAGACCAATTAAAAATTTTCAAACTAAATTAAAAAATTTTAAAACCAATTAAAAATTTTAGAACTACACATTGCATAGTTCTAGATTCCATAAATAAAATAACTGACAAATAAAATAACAAAACCAAACAAAAAAAGCTGGCAAGTTTTACTGTAGTGTTGGTAAGCATACTAGTGCTGATGTTAGTCAAATTACTGTGTAAGATGGTTTTGATTCTAACAGTGTGGTTCCAAATCACCCAGTCTAGTGTCACCACTGTTTATTTGAAGAACAAACTCTGATTTCTAAAAAGCAAATATCTGAAAAACTTCTAATCTAAATCAATTCTATTTTTCATATGAAGAAACTCAGGGAGTTGAATACTTTGCCTACAGTCACACTGTGAAATCTGTATCAGAGCCAAGACTAGAGTCCAGGAAATCTTGCACTAACTTCTCCACCCTTAATATTATTAAATAATGTTTAACATTCTCAGATAAAACGGGTTATTAAGAAACAAAATTATTAATGTTAACATATGCCTTAAAATGTAATATATTGATAGGAAATGTTTCTGGTATCAAAAGTAAACTAGCAAAGAATTAAAGTCAGTGATACAGAGAAATCTAGACAATATTCATTATCAGTTCTGTTCTGGATATTTTCTGTTCTTTACACATTATTACTCTAAGCCATCAATACCCAACCTTTTTGGCACCAGGGACCAGTTTCATGGAGGATAATTTTTCCAAGGACCAGGAGTTGGAGAAATGGTTTCAGGATGAAACTGTTTCACCTCAGATCATCAGGCAGTTAGATTCTCATAAGACGTGTGCAACCTAGATCCCTCGCATGAGCAGTTCACAGTCGGGTTCATGGTTCTGTGGGAATTAGTGCCTGAGGTGGAACTCAGGTCCTAATGCTCACTCACCTGTCATTCACCTTCTGCTGTGTTGCCCACTCTGCTAGTACCAGTCTGTGGCCCAGGAATTATGGATCCCTGCTCTAAGTGACATCCCCAGACAAGTGACATGAACATGCCCTAGGAACTTAGATATGGAGAATCTCAGACCCCAATCTAGACCTAATGAAGCAGAATCTATACAAAATCCTCAAGTCATTCATTTGTACATTCAAGTATGGGAACCAGTGCACAAAGTGTTGTATATTGTTGTGACTGAAGCTTTCAATAAATGAAGTAGTGTTACTAATATGTTAGTCCTACTGAGAAGAGCAATTCACTTGTGAAGATGAATCTTGCAGTCTAAAAATTAACTTAAATGTGTTAGTGTATCATGCATTGCATAATTCTAGATTCCGTAAATAAAATAACTGATATCCAGTGCAATAAATTAATAATTTATTTAAAACAGCTATTTTAAAAGTATAATTATTAATAGCATAGTTAACAACTTTTGAAGACAAAGTTATATTAACTGGTTTTCAGAGTATCTAAACAGTATCATTTAATGAATGTTTTATGTGAAGAAAACTAAAAACCACAGGGTGTTTCATTTTAATCATGGTGTTTAGGCTTATATTCAGAAAACTGTATTTTATCACCTTATCAAATTTCAACACTTTATATGGGAATATTTCTATTTAAATTAATTTTTTTCAAACACATTTAAATGATATTTTATATTTTAAGTTTTTAACAGTTTTTAAATTTCAACAATTTCTTTCATCCAGGCTGGAGTGCAATGGTGTGATCTTGGCTCACTGCAACCTCTGCTCCCAGATTCTCAGTACCAGAAGCACAAAGAAAAGGTACTGGATTAAGAAGTGTTGGAAAAGATAGCCCCTCCCCCACTCTTTAATAAAATCCTCCATTATGGAGAAAAACACAGCACTTATAATTTGGAAAACACAGAATTTTGTATTCCCAAAACATGAAAACCCCAGATCAAAAAAAAAAATCCAGAAAATGTTTTGACCTTTGGTCAAATACTATAAAATGAGAAAGGCAGCAGAGCCTTTACTTCCACTACAAGTATCAAATATGACTAAAATTCTGAAAGAAATCCAGAGGCTATGAAAAATATCCAACACAATTAACCATGACAGTTAGATGAAGTTGTTAAAAACTGATTATAGTGAACAATCAGAAAAAGCTGTACTAGGTCGGGCATCATGGCTCATGCCTGTAAATCCAGTACTTTGGGAGGCCAAGGTGGGCAGATCACCTTAGGTCAGGAGTTCAAGAGCAGCCTGGCCAACATGGTGAAACCCCATCTCTACTAAAAATACAAAAATTAGCCAGGTGTGGCACACGTGTTAAACCCAGCTACTCGAGAAGGGCTGAGGCAGGAGAATCACTTAAACCTAGGAGGCAGAGGCTGTTGCAGTGAGCCAAAATCTCATCACTGCACTCCAGCATGAGTGACAGAATGAGACTCTGTCTCAAAAGAAAAAAAGAAAAAGCTGTACTAGGAAACTGGGTTAGCTGATACCAACTAAATGGTTCTTAGCTCACAGCTGCTATTTAGGATGATAAAATTCAACCTGTTAGTAATGAGGACTTAACAAAGGCATCATACATCTGTGGTTATTTTCTTCGCAATTTATGGCATGGAAGAAGAATATAACATATGGTTTCCATCTTGAAGGAGATTGACAACAGCAACACTCTTAAAAAACCATAAAATAGAAAATCAAATGCAAATTGTGTGGCAGGCTATATGTGCTAAAGGAATTGAGGGGTCAAAAAATGGGCATGATTAAAGCAGTACTCAAAGTGGAACACTATAAATTGGAAAGGGGTTAAGACTAGAGAAAGAGGGAGGTTGGCATAACAACAAAAACATCTCCCTGATCCACAAGAAGCATAGTTTCATTTTTTCCATTATGTAACTCTTCTGAGATGCAAATAAATTTTACTTCTAATTATAATCAGTAAAACCAGGCTCCCTTATTATCAATCTTCCCTATCTACGGCAGGGGGTTGGGGGGTGCGGGGGAGGGAGGGGGAGAAAGAGAGAGAGAGAGTGTGTTTGGAGAAAACAAACGGTACACAGAGGCACATATCCCCCAAACTCAAGGCAGCATAAGAATCAGAGTTTCAAAATACATTATAGATTATAATAAACTTTTCATTTAGGAAACAAAAAAAATCCCATTATTTTCTCATACAAAAATATTCAATGAGGTATAAACTTTTTATTTAAAAAATTTTTATTTTTGTCTGCAAATACTCAACCAATATATATTTAGTGTCTGTTAATACAATAATGGCAATGAGCTTGGAACTAGGAATATAGTAGGAAAACCTACTATAACCTACTCCTCACTTTTAGGAGCTCAGAGTATGGTAAAGAAGCAAATATTAAAAAGAACTTGTCAATAATTACAAATTTGTTACATTTTTCCAGGAACTTAAAAATACTGGTGGACACTGCTGCTGGGAAACACAAGATAAAAAGACAATGGTGGGTAACTGTATACACAAAGACACTGCTCAAGAAGTATCTGGAGCAATGGCAGATTGAAGATGTTTTGGATAGTTTTTTCTTCAGAGCTTATTTAAAGTTGGGGCTATTCATCAGGCAGAGGTCCTAAAGGGAGCCTTCAATGTGTATTTTCTTTAAAAAAGGGAAGAAAAGAAAGAAAGGGAAGAAAAAGACAGTATATGAAGGAAGTGGAACATCACTGGATGGAACTAAAAATAGTTCAGTCACTGAGCTAGGGAGTAGTAACAAGAGACAAAGCTGGAGAGGCAAATACATGCATAATAATGAAGGGCCTTGTATTAGAATTGAGAAATTTCTACTTTATACTGGAGGCAGTGGGATCCACTGAAGATATAGATGTTGAAGCTGTGACATGAACAGACTTACATTTTAAACTCTTAGTCTGGCAGACTGGAGACTTCAAGTTCTGGGAAGATGGAATAGATATACTTCTCATTCTTCCCATTAAGTACAACTTAAAACCCTAGACATTATACATAAAACAAACTGAAGACTCTGAAATGTGAAGAGAAAAACTTCCTCAGGACATTGGGACCTGATAAACAACATAATGGCAAGTTTTCTGGAGTTTCTTCTTGGTTCATATATCCCAGAATTAGAGCTAAAGAAGATAACTCATAAATGACAACAGCTATAAAGAGAAAAAGCCCCAGTAAAAGCCTGCTCTTTCTAGCCAAAGGATTAGGAAAGGGGCAGACTAAGAAGACAGAAAACTCAAAGAAAAAAACTGTTCTACTTGAGATAAACATCACAGAAAAAAAACTGGCCCCATATTCACCCATGTCAACGACGGACAAGTGCGGTGGGGGTGGGGAGGGGTGCTTGATTTCCAACCTCATGAGCCTGTAATAAGGTGCTCAAACACATCTGCAAGAGTGGTGCCAGAAAAACAGCTGGGCGTGGTCACTCACACCTATAATCCGAGCACTTTAGGAAGCTGAGGAGGGCAGATCACTTGAGGACAGGAGTTTGAGACCAGCCCAGGCAATACAGCAAGACCCCGTCTCTATTAAAAATACAAAAAATTAGCTGGGTGTGGTCCTAGCTACTTAGGAGAATGAGGCATAAAAACTGCTTAAACCGGAGAGGTGGAGGTTGCAATGAGCTGAGATAGCACCACTGTACTCCAGCCTGTGTGACAGAATGAAACTGTCTCAAAAACAAAACAAAACAAGTATGGTGTCAGAAAAAGACAGGACATTAATCTTCACTGCTGACAACAAGCCTCCCCTCACACACACTGTCAGTGGAAACCACATAGGGAACCTGCACTTATACCTCCAACCTGGCAGTAATAAGGTACTCCTCCCTCTTCCCTCTAGGGTAGTTTCAGAAGGGATTAAGAACTTTCACTATTGCCTAGAATATTACTACCATGTGTATATGTAAGTGTGTGTGTGTATGTATAATGCCATCCCCACCAAAGTGTCTGCAGAAATCCTACTGAGGGCTGGAATCACCAATACCACTGAGCAGTAATGAGAAGGCATCACTTGGATGTCAAGGATGGCCAAGTGGAAAATCTATACTTCTAGCTCCACTTGGCTGTAATGAGACAGCGATCCCATTTCCACTGCTGGAGTGGTGTCAAGTAAAGCCAGCTAAAATGATTTAAATCAGAGCCAGCTCTACACACATATATTTGACAACTTAGACCAAGTGAATTAATTCCTAAAAAATCATAAACTAACACAACCTATACACTATGAGATAGATAATTTGACTAGCCTTCTATTTGACTAGCCTTCTAACTACTGTGAAACTTAATGTGTATTTTGAAAATTATCAAAAAGATATCTCCAAGCCCAGATGGTTTCAATGGAGAGTTCTACAAAATGCTTAAAGAGTGAACACTTACTTTGTATGATCTCTTGCAGAAAGAACAAGATAGAATACTTCCCTATTCATTTTATGAAGATAGTATTTCCCTGATATAGAAACTAGATAAAGGTAGTGTAGTGAATGCCTACAATTGTAGTATAATTTTATAATAAATTACAGTCATCCCTCAGTGTATGTGGAGGATTGGTTCCAGCCTCATCCCCACTGCTTATACCAAATTCATGTATGCTCAAGTCTCGCAGTCAGCCCTGTAAATCCAACCATAAGAAAAGTTGGTCCTTTGTATACTTGGAATACTGTATTTTCAATCTCTATTTGGTTGGGAAAAAATCTGCATATAAGTGGGTCCACACAGTTCAAATCCATGTTGCTCAAGGATCAACTGTATTTATAAATTTATAGCATATATAATTTTACTTTAAAATAAATCACACATTTATAATACATGTGTAATTGTATAATTTTATGTTGCCTCAGCATCGATTCTGAATGCAGGTTTAGCTTTCTTGTCTCAGGGTTTAGTCACTCTTCATGCAGTTTCCAATTCTATACCACACCCCAGGGGCTCAAGCTGGAGACATCTCTCCCAACTAGCAGACTGGGATCCTGCCTTCCTGCCACCTCCTTTAAAGAGACCATTCAAGCACTGGCTTCCAAACTTAAAGTGACCTACACCCTATTCCCTAATATACAGTGCTAGTTGCCATGCTCTCCTGCTCAAGGCTCTCTGTCTCCCTGCACTCCCTGACCTCCAGGTGTGTGGCCTACAGGCATGCCATGTACCACAGGTCTGTAAGTACTAAAAATTCTTAGATTTTCACATTGAGGTTGTCACTGAAGCTGTACCAAAAATCTGACTCAGTCTGCAAGGCTGCTCCAGAAAGGATGCATGCAGGTGGATCTCCTGCTGGTGCTCTTTTGTTCAGGCCTCTGGTGGCTGCTGGTGACAGTAGCCACCAGCTACACTGACAGAGAAAACAGGCAGTACAAGAAAGAAAAAAGAAAAGGGAAGAAAAAACAGGCAGTTTAAGAAAGAAAGAAAAGAGAAGAAAAACTAAAGACTAATATCCTTCATATATATAGATGCAAAAATCCTTAACATAATATTAGGAATGGAATTCAGCAATATATAAAAATAACTGTACACCATGACCATGGTTTACACCAGGGATATACGGCTGGGTTCAATACTTTAATCAACCAATGTAATTTACCATGTTAACAGGTTACTTTTTGAAAACCATATGTTCATATCAATTGATACAGAAAAAGCATTTGAAAAAATTCAGCATCCATTAATGATTTTAAAAACCCTTAGAAATATAGAAGCAGAGGGATATGAATGCTTTTCCCCTAAGACTGAGAAGCTAGAATGTTCTTCTCATCACTCTTCTTTAACACAGTGCTGCAGGTTCTTGCAGTAAGGCAAGAAAAGGAAACAAAAAGCATATAGATCAGAAATGGAGAAATAAAACTGTTCCCACCTGCAGATAACATGACTGTCAGAATTAAAAATCCCAAAGAATCTATTTTTTAAAAAATAACCCTCCTAGAACTAATAAGTGAGTTCAGCAACACTACAGAATACCAAATAAACATATAAAAATCAACTATATTTGTATATATTAGCAATAAACACATGAACAAAAAAATTAAAAATACAATACCATTTGAAATGGCTTAGAAAACGAATTACTTATCATTATCAATATATAATGGGTTAGACATCAACATAGGTTTCCTTTGTATAGTGCCAGAACATTACTGTAAATGACAGCAAAACATTTTAAGCGTTAAAAATTTAGCTCTTACATAGAGCTAACAAAAAAGCTCACAACTACTTTGGTGAATGACATAACAACTAATTGTTGATTTGAATATTTTTCGTCAATACCACCTATTTCAAGACAGTTTTAAAATTAATTAGCAAGCTTTCAAAAGCTACTGCCATTCAAAGCCACATGCTATTAAAAAGAGTAGAGACAGGCTTATGAATAAGTTTTCCAAATCCCTATTGCCTCTCTGAAGACAAATCACTGACCATTCTAGCTGGTCTTCTGTTCTACTGTTTTTTTTAGTATCACACAACTCTAACACAGACATTCAATGACACTCTTAATGTTATTGTTGGTACCAAAGCAAAGTCAATGATTCACTTATCAAGTTCCCAATCTACAATAACTTACTTTTGGAAAGATAAAGTAACAGAGATTAGATACAGAGTTATTTTTTAGGAGTAAAGCCTCTTAAAAATACAAAATAGCATTCATAAATAATGCTCAAAATTAAGATCACCACATATTTAATATAAAAAAGTATTAACATGGCATTTTAAAAAAGTCATTTTTATAAAAGATGCTACATTATATTACTACTTCTCTTTCACTTATTTTTGCCTAAAACTGCCTTTCCGGAGAGGCCTAACAAATTCTAGTTAAAGTAGTACCTTCTGCTTTTTCTTCCTAACACTCTACTTATTCAGATCATGTAATGCTTCTAAACGCTGCAAAAAACTGCCATTTCATTTTGAGTAAAAACCAAAGACCTTACACCAATCAGTAAGGCTCTACTGATCAGGCAACAAGCCCCTTTCACCCTTTTACTTCTCTAACTCATTTCCTTCCATTCTCCTTGCTTAATCATTCTACTCTAGCCATGTAGTACTCTGTGTTTTACCTGAACACCTGGGGCACATTTGATTTTAGAAGTCTTTGCACTGGCTACTCCTTCTACTTGGAACACATATTTCACAGATAACTGTACAGCTAACCCCCTTACCTTCTTTAAGTTTGTGCTAACATGTACCTTCCCAGTCAGGCCTACCCTTAGGCCACTATACTTAAAATGATAAAACTCCTCATTGTGCACATCTGACTCATTCTCCTTATTCTATTCTTATTTTAAAAGCACTTATCACCTCCTAACATACTGTATCATTTACACAGTTATATATTTACTGATTTTTGTTTTCTGTCCTTCACCCAGGCCAAAGCAAAGAATTTTTGTTTAGTCTGTTTTGCTTAATGTTGCATCCCAAGAGCCTGAAACAATGCCTGTTACATAGCAGATGCTCAATATATGTTTGCTGAATAAATGCAATAAATGAATAAATATAATAGGTATACAAACACTTATCAAATTTAGTTTTAATCTTAGTAATACAGATAAAATAACTGCATTAACAAAAGAAAACATCCCCTCTCACGAAAGGATGAGAGCTTGCTCTCTCTCTCTCTCTCTTTCTCCCTGTCTCTCTCTGCCTAATAAATCACTTCCTGCAAACAAACAAAACTTTCTTGCTGCCTGTACACACGCACTCTGCTTGTGTCTAGTGTCCTTCTTCCTCACTCCTCACTCACCTTTTCCTCTTGTCACAAATATGCTTTGCCAGACAAATTCCAAAATGAATAGGCCTTCCAAAAAAAGCCATCCTTGTTCACGTAAGTCTGGATTAGGTGCTCCTCCTATGTACTCTCCATGTAGCTCCATTTATTTTTCCTCATAGCCATTTCATATATATTGCAATAACTATCTGTTTATCTGTTTCCCAGACCAAAATGTGAACTCCTTAAGAGCAGAACCCATTTTTATTTGACCTTCCCTGACTAGCATGTAACTCACATCATGTAACAGAGACAGGTACTCAACAGATGTTTCATGTGTGAACAAACAATTTTTTATACATTTCCTAAATTGAATTAACAGTGAACCACAGATATTTACCTGTTACTTGTTTCCTTAGTTTTTCAATTTCTTCTTTTAAGTTTTTTATTTCTAAATCTTTGCTTGCTGTTAGTGGACCATCAACAGTTGAATACTGCAGAGCTTGGACAGTCTGTGTTGACTCTTAAAAAAAAGAAGTAAAAATATCACCATGGTCTAAATTCTTAAAACTAATAACATCTACATTTCTTTGTAGAGAAATCTTTATACAAGTTTCTAGATCAAAACATCTACTCATTGACAAAAAGCAAGTGAATATGTAAAAATTAAGTCGTAAAAATTAAGTCATAAAAAATCAGGCCGGGGGCATGATTTTACAGGCATGATTCATGCCTGTAATCCCAGCACTTTGGGAGGCCAAAGCAGGAGGATCACTTGAGTCCAGGAGTTTGAGACCAGCTTGGGCAGCAGAGTGAGACCTTTGCTCTACAAAAGACATAGAAAATGTCAGGGCATGGTGGCACATGCCTAAAGTCCCAGCTACTCAGGAGGCTAAGGTGGGAAAATTGCATGAGCCCAGGAGGTTGAGGTGATAGTGAGCTCTGATCACGCCACTGCACTCCAGCCTGGGAGACAAAGTGAAATTCTATCTTAAAAAAAACAAATCCACTGCACACGTCTTCAAAATTATAATACATATATATATGAAAGACTCCACCTTCTAATATGTGATATTTTTGGTTTTAAATACTGTTGGTGTACTCTGCCGATGAATCAACCATGTAGCCCCTTTTTCTCCTAGTAAGAACATCACCATGTGATATCTCAAAAGCCTGGTACGTGAGTCAGATGCTGTATGAAGAACTGAATCTCATGCACAAATGGAGGGTTAGGCATGTTAATATACATATGCAGAAGTGCTGGCCTTCCAAATTTTATGTCTTAAAGTTGAAGCCCATCTACAGGTAACTATGGCTGATCTATTTAGTTAAAATAGAAATTATTAACTTATCTTGTAGTTCTAATGAGAAAATACAAAGTATTAAAGAAACTGTAACTCTGCTTAGGTTTATTCCCAGATATCATCAAAGATATGGAACAAAGAAAACATTTTTTAGCATTTAACATCAGAAATGAAATTGCCCTTCGTTCTAAAATAAGTGTTTTGCTATTTGTGGAGGGATTCTTACACAGTAAGTGTCTCCCTTACCATAATTCTTTATGAGTTAGTGCAAATCATTACTGATTACTTTGTGTGTGCATGTGTACATGTGTGCGTAAATTGCAATCTCTATACGTGTGGCAGTCACTAAATTCTTGTTAATTTGAATTAAAGGCTTAAGATACACTATATTGTGCATCTGATCTTGATTTTCTGCATCCAATAAGTATTTCTTATACATTTCTTTCTTTTTGGGTTCAAAACATGATAAAAGATTGGTCCTTTTCTGTATTTATTATTTTGAAAAGAACATCCATTATTTTTATTTTCTTTAAAGACATCTAAACTGGGAGTAGAAAATAAAGAGAGGCCGGGCGCAGTGGCTCAAGCCTGTACTCCCAGCACTTTGGGAGGCCAATGTGGGCGGATCACGAGGTCAATAGATCGAGACCATCCTGGCCAACATGGTGAAACCCCGTCTCTACTAAAAAAATACAAAAATTAGCTGGGCATGGTGGTGTGTGCCTGTAGTCCCAGCTATTCGGGAGGCTGAGACAAGAGAATTGCTTGAACCCGGGAGGTGGAGGTTGCAGTGTGCCAAGATCACACCACTGCACTCCAGCCTGGTGCCTGGCACAAAGCGAGACTCTGTCTCAAAAAAAAAAGAAAAAAGAAAATGGGGAGACATAAAAATACACAATGGCGGGGAAAGCAGGTGCGGTGGCTCATGCTTGTCGTCTCTGCACTTTGGGAAGCCAAGGCGGGTGGATCACCTGAGGTCAGGAGGTTCAAGACAAGCCTGGCCAACATGGCGAAACCCTCTTTCTACTGAAAATACAAAAATTAGCTGGGCATGGTGGTGAATGCCTATAATCCCAGCTACTCAGGAGGCTGAATGCAATAAACGAATGAATATAATAGGCATACAAACAGGAGAAACGCTTGAACCCAGAAGGCAGAGATCGCAGTGAGCTGAGATCATGCTGCTACACTCCAACCTGGGTGATAGATACGAACTCCGTCTCAAAAAAACAAACAAACAAAAAACCAAAGAATATCAAATGGACGTTAATAGGAGCTATTTTCCCTCCTGTACCCCACCTCCCACCGGTATGAAGGTGGGGCAGGCATTCTTGCTCATTATTGCCACCTTCGCCTCAAAACTCCTAGGTCTGCTGAAATGGGCATTTCCCACTTATTATAGTTACCCACTTGTCTTCCTTATCTTACTCTCTTTTTAAATAAGGATTTTACATGTTGTTCTCTGCCCTTCTTTCCATTACTGCACTTTTTATTATTCTTAGTGACTTTAATATCATTAAGAATGTTAATGCATCTAACACTGACTTCTTAGGCACATAAATCCCCTATGGCAGACACCACTGGTTTTTACCCAACATCTTTTCATCTCTTCTTCCTTGCAAACCAATTTCAATTATCAGGCTACAGTGTGCATAGGCAAGGTGGGCCCAGTCAAAACTGGTAGGTTTAAATTAATCATGGTAATTCCATTCCACATTGCAAGTGTCGGTCAAGAATCAGGTATATGACCTGGTTAGAACTTAAATGGTACCTTGAGAAGAAGTCCACCAGGGGGCTTCAGAGAGAGGTTTAAATATGAAAAGACATGAAATTAAATCAATCTTCCCACTTTTTGGGTCTCTGGATATGTGCAGATAGGAAGACGAAACTCTTGGTATACTCTGCCAATGAATCTATTTAGCTTCCCTTTTGTAGTAGCAGGGAACACTACCATATGATAACTTAAATGTCTGGTATGTCAGTCAGATGATATATGAACTGAATCTGGTATATAAGAACTGAATCTGGTATATGAAGGGAGGTCTTGCCTTCCAAATATTATGTCTGAAAGTTGAGGCCTACCATATTGTGGAATCATGTAAGGAAAGCAAAAAAATTAATAGGGAAGCTACCCCAAGACTAAACCATTTACTTCTGACTTCTTGAGACAATAAATCCATATTACTTAAGAATTCTCACATCTGTAGCCCAAAATAGACCTCTCTCCAGCATACCCACCAGATTAACTGGCCATATCCTAAACTAGTGGTTCTCTACTGCAGGTGGTACCATCACCTCCTGTGGAGGGGACAGGAGAAGGGGAATAAGTTACTGACAGTCCATGAGGAGACTGCTGCAAGTATTTAACATCTGGAAACTCAGAATGTTGAATATCTCAGGGTGTGAAACCAATTCTCATGTGAAAAAAAATTACCTCACTCCAAATGCCTGTGGTTCACCAATTGGGAAGTTCTACTACATATTTTGTCATTATCAATAACTGCATGCATGACCTCCAAAATTATCTCTTATCCATACAGCTTACTACTCTAGGGAACACTTCAACAATTCTTCATTCCCACAAGAAATACCAATCAATATGTTCCTAACACTTTCCATTTTTCTCCTCTTTACTTCCGTGCCCTGGGGTTAGATTACTTGGTCCATCACTGCTTTGCAAATACCTTCAATTTCTTTACCCTTTTTTCCTCCATTGTACTTATTCTAGAAAGCCCCCAATCTTGGCTAATTTCTGTTCTTCTCCTACTCAATGATTTCACCCAAGCAGCTGAAAATGGCTGAAAACAATACACAGTCATTTAAAATTCATTATTACTAAATTTAAATAACTTGGAAATCCTATTTCCCTAGCTCATTTACTCTTTTCATCTTCATACTGACCATTTCACATTTTTTCTTTCTCTCGTCAAATATCTAATAACTCCTCTACCTTCCTTACTCTCAGCAGACGACCGTACTTTGTATTTGATTTATTGTTTGTCTCCTCAAAGTAGAATGCAAACATAACAGGGAGGTATTTTTGTCTTTATCTGTTTCTTTATTATATCCCTAGTCATGTGCAGAAGAGTCCCTGGCTGTTTGATACTCAATAAATAGCTGATAGATGAATGAATCCGTTTAAATGTTATCTATGTCACTACGAAACAAGTTTAATACCAAAAGCCAATGACCTTACATTTTCGTTCACTTTGCTCTGTGCAAATGACACTAATCAGATGTAAAAAAATACTAAGAACAAATTAAAGAATTCAAAACATTAAAAAAAAAAAAAACCCAAAACATAGGAAATTCTCAGTCGTAAGGGGATGAATTAGGAAGCAAGAGGTTACTGCTTTGTTTCTCCTGCTATAAAAAGTAAAAATTCAATACATAATTTGAAAAAAATCTTATTTTTAAAAACATCCTTGGTTTATTTTACTTAGCTCTCTTTGCTTTCCCAGGTGGAGGTGAGAAAGTCAGGCACTCTGAGGTAAAGAGGCTATTACAACTGCTTCTACCTAGAAGTCTTATCCATTTCTGTGAGTGAACTTGGGTCAAGCCTGGGTTAAATTGAGAGAGAACATGCTGAAAAAAAAAAATTCTTGAAGCTCCTGCAAGATGTGTGGGGATGATGCAATAATTTGGAAATCTCAAAGTCCCTAAGCATATGGTGCTTTTATTCCCATGGTATAATTTAATTGTTGTACTTGGGGGCTGCATGGGAGGTTAGGGAGCTTCGAAAAGTCAGACTGAAATTTCTGATAGTATAGAATTATTTCACAGAGCTGCTTGAGGAAGAGAATCTGCTTCAAATACATGGCCAGTCTCTTCATCAAGACACTTACCAAACTGGGAAATGGTATAGGGCAGAAGGCTGAATAGTGGAAAAAATCTCCCATAGTTTACGAAGTGAAGGACAAAAAGGCCCAACCAAGTTCTATCTAGCTCCCCATTCTGAACATTCGAAATCAAAGATAGGTTGAGTCTAATTAAAAATACAATTTAGTCTTGTCTAAGCTCAATTCTTGATGGAATGAAAAGGGAGAAACCTCTCTGGGGCAAAAATAATATAAACTTCCTTCTCTATGTTATTTCTATTCATGACATCTTTCATCTAAGACATTTGGAAAAGCGGAAAAGCGTGACAAATGAAAGAAAAAACAACAGAAAGGCAGGTTCACAGATGATTCAGTTGTTGAAATTAGCAGATAAGGACCTCAAAATATTATTAAAATGTTAAAGAAAATAGAGGAAAAAAATAAACAAAGATATGGGGAATTTCAACAGAGAACTGAAAATTGAGAGAATCAAATAAATAATCTTGAACTAAAAAAGATAATATCTGAAATTCAGACTAATTAGATGGACTTAACAGCAAAATGGTTATAGCAGAAGACAGAAATAGTGAATCTGAAGGCAGATCAATAGGAAATATCTTATTGAAGCATGAAAAAAAAAAGAAAGAGTGGAAGGAACAGAACAGAGCATAAAGAAAATATAAGATACCATCCAGCATATATGCAATTAGAGTCCCAGAAGGAGAGGAGAAAGTATTAAGGCAAAATACAATCTGCAGAGATTATGGCTTACAAGTTTGTAAAACTGATAAAAGATATCAAACAATATTGCAAAAGCTCAGTCAATTTCAACCAGGATTTTCTGTTTATACAAAGAAAGCTAGGATTAAGATTAACAGCTGGCTTCTCAAGAAACGTTATGGAAATTATTATAGAAAACAATGAAATAATAAATGTAGAGCCCTGAAAGAAAAAGCTGCCAAGCTACAATTCTAACCCAGCACAAGTATTCTTTAAAAATGAAGGTAAAAATAAAGACATTTTCAGATAAACAAAATCCTATCAAGAATTTGTCACAACACACTCACATTACAAGAAAACACTAAAGGAAGTTTTTAGGCTAAAAAAAATGATTCCAGATAGAAACATGGATCACTAGGGAGAAATAAAAAACACCAAATGGGTAAATAAATGGATAAATAAAAATATATTTAAAATTAATTAGTAAAGAAAATGTAAAGCAACAATTGAGTAAAAATGTATTACAAGATTTATAACACAGATTAAGGTAAACTATACAACAACAGTCAAACAAGGAGTCATCTAAAGATTTCTACTTGTTTGTGAAGTAGTAACATACAAATCATTAAATAAAAGATCCATAAAGAACTAACAGAAAAATGGGCAAGAACCTCGAACCAAAACTTCACAAGACTAGATATCCAAATGGATAGTAAATATATGAAAAGATATTGAACCTCATTATTCCTCAGGGAAATACAAATTAAAATCACAGCAGGACACCACTATACTTCTGCCAGAATGGCTATAAGTGAAAAATGCTGATAATACCAAGTTCTGGTGGGAGCTAGTAGAATTATGCACTGGTATAGTCACTTTGGAAAACGCTTTGAAAATATCTTCTAAATTGAAAGCTGAAAATCCTCTACTATATGGCCCAGAAATTCTATGCCCAGGAATATATCTGATAGAAATAGTACATAGGACCATCAAAATAAATATATAAGCATAGCCGCAGGAACTTTACTGTAGTAGTCAACATCTGGAAATAACCTAAATATTCACCAACAACATACTGGATAATTTCTCAGTACTGATATACAATGAAATACTAAACAGCAGTACAGAAAAAAAAGAGCAAACTACTGATATATATAAAACATGGATGAATCTCAAAAACAACATGTTGAGTAAAAGATGCCATACACAAAAGAGAATATGCTGTATGATACAATTTATATGAAGTTCAAAAACAGGTAAAAATTCATTAATGGTCAAAGAAATTAGGATGATGTTTATTTCACAGTGGTAGGTTACAAACTGTGAAGGAGCATGTGAGCACTTTACCCTATGCTGGAAATATTCTACACATGAATATGGGTGAAGATTACATCAATGTATGCATATACAAACATTTATTAGGCTTATACTTAAAAGCAGAATGCTTGCACACCTTGCTGTATGTATATCACCACATTAAAACAAACAAACAAACAAAAAAAAAAAACAGAAAAACTTCAGCCACAAAAGGGAAGTAATCCATATGCAGAGATCTTAACAGCTTATGGAAAAACAGAAAACAGTCTATTCTATTGATGTCTACACAGGCTTTTTCTCCACTGGGCCGCTAAAAGTATGATAGTAAAATTTTATTATTGTAAAACTTTGATTATTTCTCTCTTAGGAGTTACAAGTTCTTGATTATTTGTCCATAAATACATTCCTTCATTCACAAAATATGTAAGTAAAATATTATCCTTTACTTTAGAGGAAAAAAAAAGCAGAAAAAAGACATAGTAGTACTGGGGATAGATATATGATAAATTGTCAACAGGATGGTCAGAAAAACCTTCATTGGAAGGCCTTGTTCAATTAGAGATCTGCTTTAAGTAGAGAGTATTCTAACATTCAAAGGTCAAGAGTTAAGGAGAACTCAGCAAAGGAGAATGGGAAGGACTGGTTTGAGAGGAAAAAGAAAACCAGGAAATAAAGTGTCCCAGAAGCCAAAAAGGAGAGTGTTATCAGGAAGAATAAATGCTCGACAGGGTCAAATATTGCTGACAGGTTAAAAGGTGAAGATAGAAATGATCACTGGATTTTACAATACAAGACAGTGAAATAGACTAGGGAAGCAAAGTAGGACGGCTGAGCAGCATGAAGAGCTGACTTGAGGTAAGCATGAATCTGAATTGATATTAGTCAGCATGTTGTAGGTGTTTTAAGCAAGTTGTCTTCAGTTGCATAGCTGCAGAGACAAAGTTGTATTCACAAACCTGGTTGGGATTCTGCCAAAGGTATCTGACAAAGAGAAAGAGGAATTATAAATAATATCATAGGGTGGAGTGGATGAAATGGAGTAGAGAAAACAATCACTGAAGGTAAAGAATCAGAAACTAACTCATAAAGAAAGTTCACATATGTGCATTTTAAAATCACCAAATAAGACAGAAGCCATGTTGCAGAGAATCACATTGTGACAGGAGCTAGAATTCTTAAAGACTGAGGAAATAAGAAGCAAAAAATCATTAAAGTGTTATAATGAAGTGAGGAGGGTCCCATTTCCCCATTTCCAAAGGTATTCCCAAACATTTATAAACATACATATGTACCCACAGGAAACAAAAGCTATTTTGTTGTTTACTGTTAATTGTGTGATCTTACACAAATGGTGTTATGCTATGTCCTGCATACATTTCTACAACTTGATTTTTCACCACTTAATAAAAGAATTTTTTTCAAAGATAAAACCACTTTTAAGAAACAGCTCGTAACACTGTTAGTCTAATTCAAAAAGTGAAAATATATTTACCTTGAAGTTTTCTAGTAAGTTCAAGTTTTTCTTGCTCAAGACGCTTAATTCTTCTTTCATAAGCTTCTGTTGCTAAGTTGTTGTCTAGAGTCCTCTGAACATTAGCATCAAGATCCAGTGAGGTGGGACCAGCTGTAACTCTTAAACAGCTCCGATCAGAAAGTACACTGAAAAAAAGAAAAAAAAAATGTAGGTTCATACTGTGATGAAAAGTTAACGTTTAAAAAAGTTTTTTAAACTGACTCCATATTTGTGGCATAAACATCTTTAAATTGCTCATTTTTAAAACACAGACTTGAACATCTTGCAGTCAGCCAGCTGAAATGATTCAAAAAATTTTTTTGTAAAATCACCATAAACTATTTTTAGAAGCATTTTAAAAAATAAAAATTTAAAAATCCCCTGAATTATTTTGATTGAAAAACCCCCCACAAACTAGAAAATGAAGTTTGCTAAAGGGTTACTGGTAGTTTAAAACAATTTGACCAGCTAGATGCAAGAGTAGTATTCAAAAGCACCAACCACGGCCTTCTTTACGAGAATTGAAATTCAAAAGCAAGTTTCTGTCTTTAATTCAATACAATTTAAATAAAAATATTGAAACTGCTGGACATTCGGTGGTGATCAAAACAGACAAAAATCCTTGCCCATGTAGAGCTCATATTCCAGTGACTGAGACAGAAATAAACAAAATAAGACATTCATGACATTAGAAAATGTTAAATGCTAAGGAGAAAACAAAGCAGGAAAGGGAGAAATAAAGTACTGAAGGGGAGGAGATAAAAATTTAGATAAAGTAGTCAGGAAAGCTGTCACTGTGAAAGTAATTTTGGAAAAAGCTAAGTAAGGGTAAGGGGACCAGTTAAGGGAATATCAGAAGAATGAATGTCCCAAGCAGATGAAATAGAAGTATAAAAGCCCCGAGACAAGAGTATGTCTGACATGCTCACAGGCCAGAAAGGCAGCCTGTGTGGATGGAGTTGAGTAAACAAGGAAAAATCAACTCAGAAAGATAAAAGTAAGGCACTCATGTAGGGCCTTGTAAGAAGTTTGATTTGGAGTTAAGACATGAAGCCACTGGAATTGGGGATGAGTGGACTGGTCCCGATTAGGGGAGTGACATGTTCTGACTTATCTTTTAAGAGGATCACCTGAACAGGATCAGAGAAACAAAAGAAAGTAATAAGTGGGTGGTTAAGATGGATTTTTAACTAGACAAGAGGAGAGGTCTCAGTTGCACATTTAGGAGTCATCAGCAAATCTTTGGGAGAACACTAGAGAGTTTAGATGGAAAAGAGAAGTTCAAAGACTAAGCCACAGGACACTCTGATATTCACAAGCCATGGAGGTCAGGAGGGATCAGTTATGGAGACTGAGAAAGAATGACCTGCAAGGTTAGGAGAAAAATCAGTCATGTTCCCTTGAAGCTAGAAAAGAAAGTTGGCGTTTTTTGTGTGTGTTTTTTTGAGTTGGAGTCTCGCTCTGTCACCAGGCTGGAGTGCAGTGGTGCGATCTCGGCTCACTGCAACCTCTGCCTCCCGGCTTCAAGCAATTCTCCTGCCTCACAGCCTCCTGAGTATAGCTGGATTACAGGAGCAAGCCACCACACCCAGCTAATTTTTGTACTTTTAGTTGGGATGGGGGTTTCACCATGTTGGCCAGGATGGTCTTGATCTCTTGACCTCATGATCTACCCACCTCAGCCTCCCAAAGTGCTGGGATTACAGGTGCGCGTCATCACACCTGGTCCAAGAAGAAAGTATTTTAAAAATATGGAGCTGTGGCAAATAAGATGAGACTAAGCAAATAAGTAAGACTAGGACTGAGAAGTGATCATTAGATTTAGCAAGGTGGTCAACATGACATCGATAAAAGCAGTTTGCATGAAGTGATGGGGGCACATACCTGACTGGAATGGATTCAACAAACAAGAGTATGAGAATAATAAACAAAATATGGTCAACTGTTGAAGTAATTTTTCTACAATGTAGAGGAGAAAAACAGTAAGAGGTAAAGGAAGTAGAATCCAGATTTTATATCTTGCATTAAGATTGGAGAAAGTACTGAAATTTGTAAGCTAATAGCAATGATCTGATGATGCAGATGACATAAGAATTAAAAAATTCATGACATAAAAGCAAAACATGCACTAGACTAGCCAGGAAGGGATGCAAGAGACTGGTCTTACTAGAGGCTTGCACAGTTCATCCATGAAAAGAACAGAGTATTATTTGGGTCCAGCATTATGTAGGTGGTAAGCGTGGTGACTGGAGCTTGTGGAAGTTGTCTGCTGTTTGGGTCAATCCTTTCAATGAAAAAGGATGCAAGATTATCAGCTGAAAGTGAGGATGACAGAGGTTTCAAACTCAAGTAGAAAGAAATAGGCCAGATGCAGTGGCTCACATCTGTAATCCCAGAAACAGGGGAGGTTAAGACCAGAGGATGCCTTGAGGAATTGGAGGCTGCAGTGATCTACGATTGTGCCACTGTACTCCAGCCTAGACAGCAGCAAGAACTATCTCTAAATTGTTTTAAAAATTAGCTGTGCATGACCAGCTACTCGGGAGGCTAAGGCACAGAGATCATTTGTGCCCAGGAGTTTGAGGATATAGTGAGCTATGATTGCACCACTGCATTCCAGCCCTTCTGCTGCCCAGAACAAGACCCCACCTCTTAAATAAAAAATTATCGGCCGGGCGCGGTGGCTCACACCTGCAATCCCAGCACTTTGGGAGGCCGAGGCGGGCAGATCACACGGTCAGGAGATCGAGACCATCCTGGCCAATATGGTGAAACCTCGTCTCCACTAAAAATACAAAAATTAGCTGGGTGTGGTGGCGCGCGCCTGTAATCCCAGCTACTCGGGAGGCTGAGGCAGGAGAATTGCTTGAACCCAGGAGGCGGAGGTTGCAGTGAGCCGAGATTGCACCACTGCACTCCAGCCTGGCGCCTGGAGACAGAGTGAGACTCTGTCTCCAAAAAAAAAAAAAAAAATTATCTAGGTAAGTGGAATAGTAAATACACTAGGGTAATACAGTGTATTTGTCAGAGAAGAGGCACTTGAGTTTGGTAATCATGAATCTAAAGTAGAGCAGTAAGAATAGTCAGCTATTTTCTCTAGTCATTTGGAACTGTACAGGTACAAGTAGAGAATAAAATTTTAATAGTCAATGTTGACTTAGCAAAACGAGTATAACAGAATGAGACACAGCCAAAGAAACTCAAATGGCATACAAGGAGTGATTATAATCATTCTCAATGGAATTTAAACAGGGTAAGAGGGAAATAGGGAATATAAGTGAAGTGAGGGTCAGTGAAAGGATGGTAGGATCAATGAGTTGAAAGTTCTTCTGCTTAACTTCTAGAGAATATTCAATAGTAAGACACTCTTCTAATTACTGCCTCCCTGCTAAAGATTAGACTCTGAGCTCTCTGTTCCATCCTTTCCCCTCCAATATGCGTTAAGACTTTCATGTATTCTATTCATTTTGTAATGCTTAACTTTCTATTTCCAGCAATAGGCTCATTCTATTTTTTAAAAAGTTTTAATTTACAAAGCTTTCTCATACGTTTTTTAAACTCAAACTCAATTCAATTTAATCTGATTTAAATGGTCCAAACTATGTTAACTTTTCAAACTTACCAGCTACTAGTATATGTAAAACCAACAAATGGCAGATGGTGGCCAGAAAATGCAGTATGTGTTGGTGGGGGCATCGTTTCCTAAAGGAGAAAAAAAAATTTGTAAGAATAGATAGCTATGACCTGTAGGCTTTGCTATAAATATAAAATGCCAAAAAGAAATATTTAAAAAATTGACTGTTCAATTTTCAAACACTGATAAATTTGGTACAGTTGTTTAGTGATATAAAATTTAGACCATGAACCCCTCTACTCTCAAATTCTAATTAAATGACAATAAAGACTGAAAGTCTGGTATTGAGAATACAGTCATTATTCATGTATTCTGTATTTGCAAATTTGTGTAGAAGCTAAAATTTGTTTGTAAACCCCAAATCAATACTTGTATTAATTTTATGATCACTTGTAGACATGTGCAGAGCAAAGTAAAATTTGAGATGTCCTGTGCTCACACTCCCAGCTGAGGTTGAAAAGGAGAGGCTCTGCCTTCTCACTTAAACGCTTATATTGTAAACAAGTGTCCTTTACAGGGTCTCTTTGGTGTCATGTATTTCACATTTTTGTGCCTTTACGTGATTCACTGCTTGCAAAGGTCCGCAGGCATAGCGCTGAAGCACTGTCTAGTATTCCTAGTGCAAGGGACAGTTATGTGCCTTTAAGGAGAAAATAACAGGATAGAAACGCTTCATTTCGGCATGAGTTACAGAACTGCTGGTGGTAAGTTCAATGGTGAGTTCAGTGTTAATGAATCAACAATATATGTTACATAAAGTGTCTTTAAAGAGAAGTACACATAAAACAAGACTATGTATTGATCAGCTGATCAGAGACTCACAGGAACCTAACCCTGTGTTTCCCCCAGAGCAATGGTTCAATATTAGCTAACAGTGTTCACAGCAACAATATAGAACCTAACTACCTTGAATAATTAGAATCAACTGTACTATGTATTTAATTTGGAATGACTCACAATTTGTTAATAGTAAATAGAACTGTATTTGTAAACAATTGGTAAGAGAAGTCCATTTAATTCTTCTTTGTGAATTTCAGACAGGAAAGTATGAGAAATTTTTATCTGTCTTGAATATAGTACCAGGATAGTTTTACAAGTATCAGTCGTCAAACAGTGATCATGGCTTATTGTATTGAAACAGTATTCACTGTTTCAGTGAAAAGTAATATAACATGTGTACTTATGTACCCACAAAAATTAAAAATAAAAAGTTTGTTAAGAAGTCATATAACATAAACATAAAAAATTTTAGTACAGAATTAAAGCCACAGTTGATTGAATAAAAATGAAAGCTCAAATTAAGAAGGCCAAAAAGGCAAATAACACAAAAATTTTAAGTTCTTATTTTCCTAAATTTTAATCTCATATAACCTAAAGGTCATCTAACCTCATATAACTAACATAACTCATATAACTAATCTCATATAACCTAAAGCAGGGGTCAATATATTATACTGGTCTGTTTTAGCACTGCCCACAAGCTAAGAATAATTGAATTATTTGGCTAATGGACTGGCCAAATAATTGGCTTGAGGTCTGCCATTCACCTCAAGCAGGGCTATACCAAGACTGTGGACTATTTTCCCTATTGATTTCCTACCAAGGTTGCTATTGTTAGCAGCAACACACTGGGCTTAGGTATTTAGCCCTGGAATCTGCCCTTTGTATCAGCAAAGCTGCTGATTTTTCTATCCAGTTCCATGCTTTGTCCCAGACAAAGTCAGTGGTGGGGATGGAAGTGTGCGGTACCTGTGACTTTAACTAAAGTTCAGTGGTTTTTCACAAATAAATGCTTCTCAATTTATTTCTTTCTCTTCATTTGATGTATCAGCCCTGACATGGTTATTTTTGACAATTTTGTCCAGTTTTATGATTAGTTTTCGGGAGAAATTTGACGCCCTTTACTTTGCAATCATAAAATCTTTTTTAAGTGCGTAATTTGTTTTCTTAGAAAGCTTAATGGAATATCTTATCTAAGAAGTAAAACTTCTAATTTTAATTTTGTTCTTAGTCATAAATATGTTCACCTCAGTTAACTTTCTTCTTAACTTGATTTGTGACAGAATAAGAATTGGAAGCCATGATCACTGTTTGACTGGTAACTAATAATTGTAAAACAATCCTACCAAAATACTTATAAACCAAAAAATTACTGTATAACCATATTAGAAAGAAACAGAGGGACAGAACTTCTTCACGGTGTCATACTTACAGAATTTTTTAAACAATCATCGTCTACATCAAAATTTGATGTATCTGTTGGGCTACTAACTTCTGGAATATAAGGTGCTTCACAGTTCCGAATATTATCCCAATCAATTTCACTGAAAAATGGGTGCTTCTTAAAGTCTTCTATTCCATTTTGACCAAGACGATGTTCTCTGCTACAAATGAGCCTTCGAATAAGATCCTTAGCATTTTCAGACACATCAGTCACTTGGGCTGGAAACTGAAACCTCTCCTAAACAGAGAAAAACAAACAAAATATAAATCAGTGTTTAACCTAACTACGTTGGTTGACTTATTTATTTTCTTAAAAATACATTTTCTTTTAAATATATCTAGTAACTGTATGTTGGTACAAAGTACTAATAATAAAGGAATACAGGGATGAATGACAGATCATTTTCCCAGAACTTCTAACTGCATATATGACTTAAACATGCATGCGCTATAGAAGGAAGAATAAATGATATCTAAAATACTGTAAACTACTATCAGAATGAAGAGGAACGAATTAAAGTAGTAGAATCTGACTCAATATTGATAATGGTCATATAAGTTACATGCTAATGATTAACCAACAATAATAATACATATTTTTAAAGTACATAATATTTATCTGACACTATTTAAAGTACTTTACTCATTTAACTCGTTTACCCCTCAAAACAATCATTTTAGGTGGGTACTCCTACTATGCTAATATTACACAAGAAATAAAAGTACAGAAAATTCAAGCAACTTTCTTGAATTTTACACATCTAGTAAGTGGCAGAACCAGAATTGGAACTGAAGCAGTAATCTGTGATGTTAAATATGTTATACTACAATATTTTTTTCTAACTCAAATGATATACATGCTATTTACAACCTTGCTGCTATTTCCAGTCTTTCAACTCTTCATAACTATTTGAAACATTATCTTTACAGCCAGGTAGAAGAACATAAACCCTATAAAACTGATTCTTATATATGTAAAGTGACTAATCATAATTGCTTCACTGGAACAAATTAAAAAGAACAGATTATCATTCCCTTCTATGGAATATTCCTATTCATATTCTAAGTTTTTGCAATTGCTCACAATCTTCTAAGACTGATAATAAAGCCTTTCTTCTTATTTTGAACAGTCTATTTCACTTAGTACTAAATGAATTAAAGTTTTATTAATTTGCTTTGGTTGTGTATCAGTATTGCTTCTAATGTTACGTGATCATAAATAATATTAGAATAGGTATCCTTGTACATATATCTTTGTTCTACCAAAAATGTCCTTGTACATATATCTTTGTTCTACCAAAAACAGGGTAGATTCCTATACTGAAGTTGCTCAATCAAAACCTCTAACTATTCTTTTAAGGCTCGAGGTGCATACCTGCACACTTCTTGAACAGAAAGGTTACACCAATATATATTCCTATCAATGTCTTAGAATGCCCATCTCATTGCATTACTTATGGTACAGAGTACTGTTTTTATTTTGATCTTGCTAACTTGACAAGAAAAAAAAGTATCTCATTCTTATTTTAAATTTGTATTGCACTTATTGCTACTAAAGTTGAGAATTGTTTACACATATTCTAGATACATATACTATAGTAAGCAATGATCTAAATTCTCTGCTTATGACCTTTGTTATTCTACTGTAGAGACCATTTCATTTCCTACTTAGTAGCATCTCTAATAAAATACAAGAAAATTAGAACTAATAATTTATGAATTAATTTATAGATTTTTACTATTCATGTTTGTCATGTCCCTTACTAGGATAAAAAATGTGATTATTCATTGTTTTTAGAAAAATGCTTTCTCTCTTTAAAAATGATTTTATGTATTATTTATCACATGAAATTGAACAAAAGTATTATACTAACTTTGTGATTCATGATTTTTCCATATGTCTCCACCAGAGATTCTGCATAAAATGGTGTTTCTCCATAAAGCATTTCATACATACAGACCCCCAGAGACCACCAGTCACATTCAGGTCCATATCGGCCTTTTCCATCTTCCATTGCTTGAAGGATTTCAGGAGATATATAATCTGGGGTTCCTACAGCCACTGAGGACTGAACCTGAAGAAATTTACAAATTTATTTATCTACTATATTAGAAACAATTTCAAATTTAAAATAATTATTTAAGATACACAATAGTATTATCTCATAAACACATCTTTGTCATTATCTGAATAATAATAATCCTTGTATATAGGTTAAATTTTAATTATCCCCACATTAATAGTTTTCCAGATTTCATAACATGAGAGAACTTTTGTTATAGCTGTTATTTAATTGACAACATTTAGAAGAACAATTTAAATCATCATACTCATTAACCACAAACTAAATATTTGGTTTAGAACATTCTTTGTTGATAATTATCTGTAAAACTTATATATGTGGGAAAAAAAAATTGAAGCTGTGAAAATTTTACAATGAGATGGGGGGAAAAAGCTCCTAATATTTAGGACAACACTATGAGAAGCCTGGAGATTATGTTTAAACTCCTTAATAGACACTTAAGAAAATAAATGTCAACAGTGTACAACAAACTACTTGTTAATTTTTTAAAAAAACTATAAAAGAAGAGGTATATCCTTCAAAAACTAAAGTTCCAATACAGAAAAAAAGCTGAGTACACTGTTATAGCAGATAAGATGTAATTAGAAAAGAGGTAATTAAGGTTAGGAATGGTAGCTCACATCTGTAAATCCCTGCACTTTGGGAAGCCAATGTGGGAGAATCACTTGAGCCCAGGAGTTTGAGACCAGCTTGGGCAACATAGCAAGACCCTGTCTCTATAAAAAAGTAGAAGAGGCTGGCTGTGGTGGCTCATGGCTGTAATCTCAGCATTTTGGGAGGCTGAGGTGGGCGGATTACAAGGTCCACGAGATCAAGACCATCCTGGCCAACATGGTGAAACCGCATATTTACTAAAAATACAAAAATTAGCTGTGTGGTGGCGCGCACCTGTAGTCCCAGCTACTCAGGAGGCTGAGGCAGGAGAATTGCTTGAACCTAGGAGGTAGAGGTTGCAGTGAGCCGTGACTGCACCACTGCACTCCAGCCTGGCAACAGAGCAAGCCACCGTCTCAAACAACAACAACAAAAAGTAGGAAAAAAAAGAAAACAGTAACTAGAAAAGGCCTGGGTATATATGTTGTAAGGTACTTTGAAGTAAAAGAATATTGGCCCTTTACATGTTTTAAAAGAACCTATCCAAAAAATGAACATTCCTACGGCAGAATACCAGTTAATATTCTGGATTTTCTAGACTACATTACGAATTCTTAATAATTAGGATAAACTTACATTTTAGCAATACTGAGATTAAATAACTTGAAAATCCTTCCGTTACAAACTCTTAAAAATGCTAGATATAATAATTATTTGTATAAACACACAAAAGAACTTTTTACAAAAACATTCTTAGAGGTTAGTGATTTAAAAATGCTTGAGAATCAGAATAATAAGCATTAGAGCTGAGTGGAGTTGGGAAAGTGTTGATGTTCATTTCCTAGGGACTCGAATTTTAACATACACAAAAGCAAAGACCTTAAGCTTACATGAGGTGGGGAGTTTAAAGAGGGAGACTGCCCTATATACACACCCTTTGCCCTAAAATGTATACTGTAAGAAAAATGGTACATTATAAAAATCTGCCACAAAGCAGAGAAGTGTAACAAGACATAGATAAAATGTGTGTGACAAATGAAAAACATTGTTCCTGTAGAAATCTGTAATGTTATGTCACACAGTCTCAACATTTGGGTTGTGAATCACACTGCTTCTGTGGTCCAAATGTTCTCAAGCCAAGAAATTGGCATTAGCATTGATTAAAGGTTAGTTGCCTCTAGAAAGCAAAACAAATTCAAAACTACTCTGGAGGACACATGCTCAAATTTGGCCAAATATAATTCTTACACATAAAATCTCGCTGAATATGAGATCACAATGCAATAATATAAACCAAATGAGGAAACTGTCAATTATAAGTAACTGAGAAATCCCAAAGAGAACAATTAGATCCCTAAGAACAATCGGATGAACTCTATGAAATAAGTATGTTTAAAATTATTAAAGACCTAAGAAAATCAACAACACAAAAGTTTTTAAAAATCAAACAGAAGTCCTAGAAAGTAGTCACTGAAATAAAATTAATGCAATGAATAGATAAACAGTGGATTAGATAGAGTTGACGAGAATAATAAACCTGAAGAAGAGCTGAAGAAATTAACTAGCATCTAATATGAAGACCTAAAGAAATGGAAAATTTGGAATAAATACTAAGATGTATGGGCAAGTTCAACATAGTATAAGATAAGAGAACTTGAATGGGCAAGTTCAACATAGTATAAGACAAGAGAATGAGATAAAAGAGAGAATAGTGGAAAGTCATCCAAAAACACAGAGCTTAAATTTTTCAAGAATGGTTAAGACTTGAATTTTTGGATGAAAGAAGGGCATTAAGTGCATAAAAGAGGCCGAGTGCAGTGGCTCACACATGTAATCCTACCACTTTGGGAGGCTGACGCGGGTGGATCGCTTTAGCTCAGAAGTTTGAGACCACCCTGGGCAACATGGTGAAACCCTATCTCTACAAAAAGTTAAAAAAATTAGTGAGACATGGTGTTGCATGTCTGCAGTCCCAGCTACTAGGAAGGCTGAGGTGAGAGGATTGTTTGAGCCTGGGAAGTTGAGGTTGCAGTGAGCAGAGATGGCACTAATGCACTCCAGCCTGGGCAACAAGAGTGAAACCTTATTTCAAAAAAACCAAAAAGTACTTAGAAGATAAATAAAAGTAGATTCATGTCTACACACACTGGAATTAAACTACGGAATACCAACACCAAAGAGATTTTTAAAGCATTAAAGCATAAAGAGAGATTATCTACTAAGGAATGACAATTAGACCAACAGCTGAGTTATTAATAACTAACAATTGCAGTCAGAAGAAAATGAAGTTGTACCTTCAAGGTGATAAGACAAAATAACTGTCCATATAATATTACCTACCTACCTAAATTATAATACAGAAATGATACATATCCACATTAAGACTGAGTGAACTATCACTAACATTTCCTTTCTGATAAACAAATACTAATGGGTATACTTCAGAAAACAAGAAATTTAACCAAGATGGAAGAATGTGAAAATAGAAGCAATTGTGAACAAAGATATTAGCAAACTTTACTAATACATCTAAATGGTGGTTAACTGGATAATGTAATGATGAAGGAGGAGGAGAACAAAGACTAGAAAAAGAGGTACGAGTAACTAAGGTAGTAAATTTACTACTGAAAAAATAAATTAACCCCACAAATGTATACAACTATAATTTGTCAATTTACAAATAGAAAAATTAAAAATTTTTAGAACCACCCACTTTGCCCCCCTAAAAAAAAAAGAAGGTGGAAATAAAACACTGGGAAAACAAAACTGTGGAGGGTGTAAACAGGATTCAAATATTCTACATTTCTTAGGTTTTTTCATTATTATTTTAAAGGTGGTAAAAAAATACATAACACAATTTACTATCTTAATGATTTTTTAAAGTGTGTAGTTCAGTGGCATAAGTACATTCACATTGTTGTGCAACCAGTCCCCACCATCCATCTCTAGAATTTTTTCATCTTAGAAAATTTTAAATTTGTACACGTCACTAATTCCCCCACTCCCCTTATGCCTAGCAACCACCATTGTACTTTGTTTCTTTGAACTTGATTACTATAGTTATCTCGCATAAGTGGAATCATATAATATTATATACTGGGCTTATTTCACTCAGCATAATTTTCTAAGGTTTCATCCATGTTGTAGCACATATCGGAATTTCCTTCCTTTTTAAAACTGATTGATATTCTATTGTATGTATACAGCACATTTTGTTTATCCATTATCTGTCAATGTACATGGGGGTTCCTTCCACCCTTTGGCTGTTGTAAACAATGCTGCTCTGAAAATGGGTGTACAAATATATGTTCAAGTCCTTGCTTTCACTTCTTTCGGCTATATATCCAAAGGAGGAACTCTGGATCACATGGTAATCCTATTTTCAATCTTTTGAAGAGCTACCTATACTGTTTTCCGTATTTTACATTTCCACAACAGTGCCCAAGGATTCTAATTTGTTCACATCCTTGACAACATTTGTTATTTTCTGTTTTTTTGATAGTAGCCATACTGCTGAGTGTGAGATGATATATCACTGCGGTTTTGATTTGTGTTTCACTAATGATAGTAATGTTGAGCACCTTTTCATGTGCTAATTAGCATTTATATATCTTCTTTGGAGAAATGTCTATTTAAGTTCCTTGTCCTAGCCACTTTGGGAGGCTGAGGTGGGTGATGAGGTCAGGAGTTCCAGACCAACCTGGCCAACAGGGCAAAACCCAGTCTCTACTAAAAATACAAAATACAAAATAAAATAACATTAGCTGGATATGGTGGCATATGTCTGTAATCCCAGTTACCTGGGTGGCTGAGGCAGGAGAATTGCTTGAACCCAGGAGGAGGAGGTTGCAGTGAGCCAAGATCATGCCACTGACTCCGGCCTGGGCAACAGAGCAAGACTCTGTCAAATTAATTAATTAATGTCTTGTCCATTATTTTTTTAACAGGGTCCTTTGTTCTTTGTTGTTGACTAGGAATTATTTACATATTTTAGAATTAATTTCTTGTCCATTATTTTTTTAACAGGGTCCTTTGTTCTTTGTTGTTGACTAGGAATTATTTACATATTTTAGAGACTAACCTGTTATTAGACATATGATTTGCAAATATTTTCTCATTCCATATGTTGATGCACAGTTTTAATGGAGACACTGCCCAATTTATCTATTTTTTTCTTTTGTTGCCCGTAATTTTGTGTCATTCCCAAGAAATCACTGCCAAATCTAATGTCATAAAGTTTTCTCTTCAATTTATTTTCCTAAGAGTTTCATAGTTTTAATTTTTGCATTTAGGTCTTTGATCCATTCTAATTTTTGTTGTGAGTATTGAGTTAATTACAGTATAAAGTTTCTTGTTTTGATTGGGAATGTAGCAGAAAAACTGATAAACTCTAGACA